CCCGTTGCCGGTCCCCGGTCCGGTACGGGGGCAACACTGAGGGTTGCAATCCGTTGCCGGACATTATTTTGCTTGATGATTAAAATTCTGACAGGCAAACAAAGTAGTTAGTGTTATTTTGTCCTTTCAGGAAAACCCAGAGTAAGAGACCTGGCAGGTACCCCCACAGCTTTAACAACAATCTGGGCCTTCTGCATACGAACCCCCTTATCCTCCACAACTTCAGTCCTACCGGGCTCAGCCTACCCTCCAGCTTTCCTGCGCTACCGAGCATCTCCCACTGCTTCAAGTAGGGCTGGAAGGAGAGAAGCGGCAGAGGAGTCCCTGGGTACGTCCCGTTTTCCTCCCCAGGAGCCCACTTCTCCCTACTCTAAAACGTCATCGGCCTATCAGGCATCCTGGGGTAAGTGGTAATCACCCAGGCCTGGGGTCTTCAAACCTTTTTTAACCTCTGAGTTCGTTACGCAAAATGACGACTGTCTGTCCCCAACCACCTGTGGAAAACATAACCGGACTTCTGGTCCGAGTGAAACAGCAGCATTAGTGGACAAACTGGAACAAGCAGCCGGATCACCTGCAAATGGCTCCCTCCACACTCCGCCTCACCTTTTGGCTCCAGCATTGGGTGCCACCTGGCGCCACCGCCTCCCAGCAGTTTTCTGGCGTCACCGTCGCTCCACGGCAGCCCCAGCCCCGTTTTCCAGAACTGCTCTGACAGATCCGGGGAAGGACGCCTTCTCCGGCCTCTCTCCTCCGAGGCCCTGTCTGAGCCGGCGCTGCTGGGCCCTGGGAGCTCGCGCTGGGCCTGCCCGGCTGGCTCTTCCACTCCGTCTCCCAAGCCAACAGCCACTCCTCAGCTTGGCCTCAAGCAGAACCCGGGTGAAAACCGCTGCCGACTACTCGAGAAAAAGATCCGGAACCGGCCGCTAGCGCGACCTCAGGAACGAGCTCCCAGGCACTGCCACGGGCCAGGAACCCGCTCTGGCGACAAGGGGACGCGCCTGCACGACGCCACTTCCGGACATGCGCATATGCCTCGCCGCCGCCCCGCCTCCACCAAGCCCTGATCCTGGCCAAAACCTTTTACTCTGCACCAGTCGGTTTTGTGGTGCGCCCTCGCGGGCCGGACTTCCCAGAGAGGCTTCCGCCTGTTCTTGCTCCCGGAATCCTACTTATTCGTTGCACAAGTATTTCCGGTGCACCAGATGCCGACAGCGAAGGGGCCTCCGCGGCAGGAAGCGACTTGGCCGCAAGGAACCCTGGGAACGGCCGCTTTGGCGCAAGCGCAGACCTACGCTGGCTCTGGGCGGCCGGTTTGTCCTTCGCGGTTTCATGTGCGTGGACCCGGGTGCCGGCGATTCTCTCCTTCCGTGGCCTTCAGCTCACGGCCTGTCCCCAGTCACCTTGTCGGCCCTCTTGAGCCGTATGAAAGTTTGGCAAGAGTAAAGTAACGGGGACGCCTCAGTTTCAACAGGGCAGCCACGGGCGGGTGGCCTGGAACCCTCAAAATGTGAAAGTCTGTCAGCAGGCGGGAGCGGCGGTTGGACCTTCAGGGGTGGGAGCGTTCCTCCTCCTAGTGTTGGACCAGCCCTGTTCCTGGAGGAGACTCGAGACTCCTCCCCTGCGGGGCTTCCCTGCTGCGGGCAGGGAGTGTTTCAGTGGGTTTCCCAGGACACTGATGCAATTTCCCATGCAGCCTGTTTTATTTAGTGTTTGGTGGCTGACCGGTGAGGGGATCCGAACGCTGCACCGCTTTGGCGCAAGCGCAGACCTACGCTGGCTCTTGGCGGCCGGTTTCTCCTTCGCGGTTTCATGTGCGCGGACCCGGGTGCCGGCGATTCTCTCCTTCCGTGGCCTTCAGCTCACGGCCTGTCCCCAGTCACCTTGTCGGCCCTCTTGAGCCGTATGAAAGTTTGGCAAGAGTAAAGTAACGGGGACGCCTCAGTTCAACAGGGCAGCCACGGGCGGGTGGCCTGGAACCCTCAAAATGTGAAAGTCTGTCAGCAGGCGGGAGCGGCGGTTGGACCTTCAGGGGTGGGAGCGTTCCTCCTCCTAGTGTTGGACCAGCCCTGTTCCTGGAGGAGACTCGAGACTCCTCCCCTGCGGGGCTTCCCTGCTGCGGGCAGGGAATGTTTCAGTGGGTTTCCCAGGACACTGATGCAATTTCCCATGCAGCCTGTTTTATTTAGTGTTTGGTGGCTGACCGGTGAGGGGATCCGAACGCTGCACCTTGGTATTATCGACATCGCGCTGAGCTAACCCTCTGAGCGAACCGGCCAGTCCATGCCTCTTTTAAATTCTACACTTCTCAATTTTTTGATGACCAACTGCGTCTTAGAGGCATATTGTTAAGAAGAGTCGAATGAGTTACCAGGGAAGGAGAAGAATCTGGGGGTCCTAAGGCCTCTCTTCATTTTGTTCTGTCTCTTTGGCTTTCAGTGACAGCTGGTGGAATTTCTGCCAATATAATTTCCTTAACTTTCTGGGTCTCCTAGAACGGTACTTTAAAAGTTCACGGAAAGATAGAATTAAAAGATGATATGAATCTTTCCATGCGCTTTTTGAAGTACGCTTGGACGACTCTTTCTGGATTCACTCCATCAGACAAGCCACACCCACAAATCTCTTGTGAGACAGGCCCTTGTCAACCATGCACATCGGAAATTTTGGGCTTACTGTTTTGTACGGCAGGTCCGAAATGGATCTCACTGGGCTAAAATCAAGATTTCCATATTGCTGCATCCCTTGGGAAGATCTAGGGGAGATTCTGTTTTCTCGCCTTTTCCAACTTTCAGGCTACCTGCATTCCTTGGCTTGTGCCCCTTCCTCCACCTTCAAAGGCAGCAACCTCAGGCAGAGTCTTTCCAGTGCTGCCGTCTCTCTGGTTCTCTCTTCTGTCGCCATCTTGCACTTTTAAGGACCTTCATGATTACACTCTGCCTGCCTGCATAGTTGAGGAGAATCTCTGTTTTAAGGCCAGCTGATTAGCAACCTTAGTTTCATCTGTGACTTTAATTCTCTTTTGCCTTGTATCCTAAATATTCATACATTGCAGGCATTAGGACGTGGACATCTTTGGGGGGGGGATTTGCTGACCACCGCAGGGATTACAGAACCACACCCAAGTGAGTGGGCCCCACGGCATGTGTCCCTGCTCCTACCCCTCCATATCTTGGCTGATATTTGTAATTACCTTTGCCTCTTCTGTCCGTCTTTCAGGACAACCTTAGTTGCTGAGGCAGCAGTGGGCCTAGACTTTCCTGATGACCAGAGTTCAACCAATGGCTGACCTCACCACATTATGCCCACTGCCATCTCGGCAATGTGCCAGAGTGGCCAATGCAGGGGAAGCCACCAAGGAAACTGGGAGGAGGAGCCTTGAGTGTCCACAAACTACACAAGGAGTCCACTGTGTCACACCTGTGTGCGTGTTGTTCCCCGTCCTCAGGTGCCGACCTCCTGGTCTGTGCTGGTCTGCCCTTCTTCTGTCATCAAGGCTTGGCACAAAGCCTTCTCGGGAAAGCCTCTGCAGATGCTCAGGGCACAACGATCCCTTCTGTGCAAATCTGCAGAGCCTTTCCTGTCTCACTCCTCAGTGACCGACCTCCCATTGGGCCATTTCTCCTAGATGTGCTCCCTGAAGACCAAGGAGGGTCTTGGTCATTTCATCTGGTGTCAGGGGAGGCGTGCCTCCATCTCCCGGTGAGAGCCCGTGTGTAGCGAGTGTTTCACTAGAGGGCCTTTGACGTGCTGCTAGAATCCTAATGACCCAGGACTGAGACGCACAGCCTGGGCTGTCAGGACACCAGGACGGAGGCAGAGAGACTCAGCCGCAGCCGAAGAATCAGACCAGACGCTACTCAGCCTCTCCCCTAACCAAGGAAGGCTCCGTTGACACTCGGGATGGCTGGTCCCCCATGAGGTGGCACTGCCCACACCACCAACCCTAGCGACCTTTAAAATGAGTTGGTTTCCCCTTCAAGGTCACGTGTGGTTGTCTCAGCAGCATGTTGGCAACTGGAGTCTGAGGCCCATAATCTGTGCTCGTGGGAGTGTGGTCTGTGAGGAAAAGAGCAGAATCAGTGAGAAACCAAGAAGCAGGAGGCGTGGACCTGCCTCGCTCCCTCGGCTGATCTTGCTTTGTGCAGCAGGTGGATGAGCTTTGGAGCCATGGTCAACAAGCACACCTTACCCTAGTGAAATGGATCTCACTGGGTTAAAATCAAGATGTGCACATTGCTGCATCCCTTCTGGAAGATCTAGGGAAGAATTTGTTTTCTTGCCTTTTGCAACTTTCAGGCTGCCTGCATTCCTTAACTTGTGGCCCTTTACCCCACCTTCAAAGGTAGCAACCTCAGGCCGGGTCCTTCCAGTGCTGCCGTCTCTCTGGTTCTCTCCTGCCGCCCTCTTACACTTTTAAGGACCTTCATGATTACACTCTGCCTGCCTGGATAGTTGAGGAGAATATCTGTTTTAAGGTCATCCTGCTCAGGCCACAAGGCAAGAGCAGAGAGTATCACACCTCAGCGAGTGTGATTCTGCCCAGGGCCACAGGACCAGGAGGTGCTAACCTCATGATGGCCACAAGGCGGGAGCGGAGGTTTCCTTCCTTAGTCCTGCGATCCCACCCGCGGCCGCTGGGAAGTAGCAGAGTGGTTCAGGCGCCCGCGGTAGCAGTTCCACCCATGGTCACTGGGGGGCGATAGGGCAATCCTTGTTTCCATTTTGCAGAGCCAGGATTCTCCTGGAAGTTATTTTGGTCTGGAGTTGGGATGGGATATGGGGATAGTGGGCGTCTGTGTGTAGGTAGAGCAGATTTCTACCCAGGGTTGGGTAAAACATAGCTTCTGCTGCACCTACCCTCTGGTGATGTCTTATCCTGCCCCTCTTCTCCATGGCCCCATTCCTGATGGGCTGGGCTTCTGGGGCAGACAAAGAACTGTCAGCTAGGACTGGCTCTTGATCCCTGAAGCATTTTGTCCTCTGATGGGGAGGCTGTAAGGGAGACTAAGGAAACTTTTGAGAAGTGTGCAGAGCCACAAGTCACTGGCACCTATAAGTGGGTGCTGGTAGTCAGAAGGTGGTGTCAGTAGAAGATGCTGAGGAAGCAGGGTAGGATATAGAGTATAAAGAAAAACATGTTTTAAAAATTCAAATGCCCCAGGGACAGGCCTGTGGCTCCCTTGGGAGAGTGTGTAGCAGATAACACCAAGGCCAAGGGTTCGAATCCCTTCCTAGGGATGGCGGGTTCACTCACATGGGAGAGCGTGGTTGGTGACAACACCAAGTCAAGGGTGAAGATCCCCTTATACATCATGGTTTAGGAAAAAAAAAAAATTCAAATGTCCCCATATGAGTTACTGCAGAGCCTTGCACTGGCCTTGCACGCAGCTCCCCACCTTCACCACACCCTCCCACCCTCACCCTGCACAGCCTCACCAGCAACAACAGCTAACATTGAGCGTTTATTCCATACCCTCTTTAATTCCAAGTGCTTTATTTATCTCCTTTTTTCCTCACAAAAACCGCACGAGTGAGGTAGCATCAATATGCCCGTTTTACAGATGAATAAACTGAGGCTTAGAGAGGTGGAGTTGTAGAAGGTTAGAAATCTTGATTCCTATTTGATTATTGGATATGATGTTTAGGTAATGCATATATGGGACAAAAGTCCTCAGGTAGGAGGCAAGAGCCTACAGTTAGGGGGCAACTGCCCACCGAATCAAATCTAATCACTGTGTAAGTAAGGGATTGTATACATTGATTGCTAATATAATGGCTTCATTGGAAGATTTTTTTTGAAGGAAACTTACACAGCTCTAAAGCCTTTTTTTTTTTCCTCTTTGTCTTTTTTCGTGTCCGGCAACGGATCACAACCCTCAGTGTCGCGCCCGTACCGGACCGGGACCGGCAACGGGATCGCAACCCTCGGTGCTGTGCCCTCACCTCGCTCAGCCAGTGAGCTGCCGGTCTGTATGT